TTGCAAATTGACAAATATTGGATAACATTGTGAATTGTGGATTTAATAATTGATCACCAATTATACTGAATTTCAACGGTGTTGATTTTGTAATTGTTGTATTATTCTATTTGAACTGTGCTATCATAGTTTGTGGCTTTTCCTATGTTTATTTAATTAAACTTGTGGAAAGTTTGAATACAAGATTGGAGATAAGTCTGTTCATGAAAAGCAACAAGTGGCCACATATCACGTGCAACGAAATGTCGATAAAATACTAGCAAGTGTACGATTTCGTTGTGTATCGAGTAATCACTTCAGTGTCACCTACGTTTTTCAATACATCATCAGATTATATTCTCATTATTTTAAAAATAATACACTGCAATGAGTATTCTTCATTCTCCTGACAATCAACCATCAATTTAATAATATTTCATGATATCTTTTTTTAATGATATTTTATATAACGTAAAAATATGTATTTTAATGATATTTCTATAATTGATGAGATCAATTAATTTTCTCAAAATAAACACTGGGGTATATTTAATATTTTAGGCAGCTATTATTTTAAATATTTGATGCTTCAGATTATTAAAATAAAATTGTTTTATCTACGAAATATCCTGTTTAAAATATTATTTTATTTTAACTTTGCAATATCTCTTTTTTCTTTTAATATTTCTTCTGTGAATTTTATCAAGCTATAATTTCAAATATCCTTCTGATGGTGCCTGTTATGAATTTATTATTGTATATAAAGAAAAATAATTAAGAATTCCAATAATTGGAGGAGATGATTCAGTTTGACGGAATGAGAAAACACTGATTCCCTGAAGGACTGCATCAATTCCAAGGATGGTTAAGAGAAGTCAAACGAAGTCAGAGGATCGATTGGTTGGTTGAAATAAACTTGACTCGACAAGTTTGCAAGAGTACACAAAACTTTCATGGGCGAAGTTATCGAAGACGGGTTCGAAGTTGTTCGAACCTGAAACAGACAACTTGGCCATCGTAATTCACGTTGCAACTGCAATCAGCTTACAGAGTATATTAAGATTTTCAATAAACCATAAACGAATATCTGTGCTCTATATAAATGGTTGGAAAATATTTTATTCATAACGTGAAAAGAACGATTTGCAATCATTAGTCGATGCCAATCCATTGTCAATTAAATTTTCCACCTTCATATATTTTTTTAATAACTACATAGTATGCATTATTATTTAGCATTAAATAATTGGAAAGTTTCAAAATTTCAAAATTATTCATGAATTCTGTGAGTCTTAATTGAGTTGTGCCTTCAGTAGTAATAGTCAACCATTAAGTTGGCAATTAAATTCATGACAGAATTATTTGTTAATTTTGAAGTTTTCCATATATTCTTTTTTTTATTTCTTTCATTTAAAATGTTTACAACACAATCTAGTTTATACCAACGATACAGTAGTATTGTAATTGAACAACTGGAGTGTGTAGTATGCTGTGCATTAAGCTGATTATTGTGTAAATTCAGATTAATGGATTAACTCTAGAACTATCCAATTTGATACGATTAACCTACACTTATTGACTAATTTCGGCATGTCGAGGTGTACGGTCTGGGTACATAGAAAGTATGTTGGTAATGAAAATTAACATAGGTGTAAATTATTCAAACAAGATCCATAATATTAGAGCAAATTCTCTAAAGAAAACCATTATAAAGAAATTGTTTAAATTTGATTAATTTATCAAAGTGTACTTGTTGAAAATCATTAATTTTTGCTAGAGTAGAAGGCTTGTTGCCTAATTGTTAAAATGAAGTTAATTTAACTTCGCTAAGAAGATTAATGGATTACCCTGTTTATTTAACTAATGCTGCCAGTTTATTCACCTTGGCTGCATAATTAACTTGTTATCAAACTATAAATTACGAATTCAACATAAAAAAAAAAACATTTTTGTACCCTAAATTATTGAAAATCAATACTTTATACTGCTAATCGAAATAACAGAATTGCTAATTAAAAAATTCCTAATTTGTAATATTCGAGTTATTAGAGTTAAGAAGAGTTGTTCTTAAGCCTAAGCGTACAATGGCTGCTTTACTTCCGATTACCGTTTGATAGCAGGGAAAATACGCAGACTAATCGATTAGCATGAAACAATATCACTTGAGAACTCCTTCGAGGTTGCTGACGTGTAATTAGGGCTTTTATACGCTTGCAAGAACGGCTCCGATATCTCGTTGCCTTTGTAACAATGTGTTTCTCGTGAAGCATTCGTGCGTTCAGCTCTTTTCTCTGCAAGCATGCATTTTCTCGACGCCTTATCGAGTCCGGCTTCAATTGTTCGTTATCTCACGTTCCATTGAATTTTTTGCTAATGGATAGTTGCAAACGCAAACAATGAAACAACCTTAATTCCACTCTGAAACTCGTTTTATTAGACGACTACAAAAGTTCCTGTACGTTCTATATTTTTCGTTTTATTAAATAAATTATAAGGAACAGTAATGGTCAAATTAACAGAATTTTTACAATAATTTAATGTGTTTTATAAATCATACATGTCTGATATATAATCTGGTCCACCACTTTCAGTGGTTGTATGATAATAATTATAGGTCTTAATTAATTGTACTGTAGTGTAATTGAATACATGCATTGAGGATTAAACGTAACCCAAGCAAATGGACTGGGATATTAGGAAAAAGGAAGTAAGTAATTAAGAGTTAAATTGGTTTTGAATCCTACTGGTATTTAACTGTGAAGTTCAAACTCTAATAGCTGTTTGTATTAATTTTCCTTTACACTTGGAACAATAACAAAGCATCGATTTATCAATGTTGTTCGTTAATAAATAGACAGCTTCGTATATTCTTCTTCGGATTTTCATTATTCCATTGATCCTTTCAAGATCTCATTGCATTTATTTGATTGACGTTTGAACTAAACCTTTTACAGTGATTCGTGTATTTTTAAATCCAATAAAAGTTGGTGATTTTGTTGATTGAATTGTATGAAAAGACTTGAATGAACGTTTCTCTCTATAAAGCAGGATATGAAATTTCAATGGATACTTTTGTGGCTTTATATTTGAATTTGCAATAATTAATCGATAGAGTAAAAAATTTATAAACAGAAATGCTAAATAATTTTTGAAATTCAATGGTAGAAGTTATTTATTTATAGATTGCTCCACTTTAGATTTAATTTTTGATATTATGGTCGTTTTAGGTCCAAATAGTAATCAAGGATGATTAGATTATGAAATTGCAATTATTTAATTATTATTACTGGGTTACAGTAATTGCGCTCTAAGGTACTGAATAATCAAAAGGCCCCAAAATGTCAAAGATAACGCACAGTTGTGTCCCTATCGTAAACCCTTGACATAAATTCTGCGAAGTCCAAATGGGGATGATAGCTTTAGGGGTGGTCGTAAGATAACGACACGTCAATTACTATTAAAGTGGAGTAACCAAGATTTGAATCATTAAATAATTAAACAGTTCTAAAATATCAGAAATTTCTATAACAAATATATCCATAAATTTTCAGTAGTAATATCGATAAAAGTGTATCCCCAGTAGTAACAGTCAATAATAACCCATCCTTAGTAGTTAGAATTAAAAACATCGAAAATTTCAGATACCTTATCCATACCATAATATTTAATTACATATTCCGGAAAGTTTTAATTGTCAATTATATTCCCACCGATCTGTTAAACTTGCCTTGTTGAAAGAACCATAAATCCGTTAATATTCTATAATTAGAGATTCGTGTGTTTCCTGGCGAAACGGATAAACGAAATAGCACGGATAAAGAAAACTGACCTACGAAATTAGATAGGGTAAGAGGAACCCTCCGGAACTTTAGCTATACCCCCCATCCCCATTTGACCCAGGATTTCGGTGATCTCTGGTTGGTACGTGTCGGCTACAGGTCACGCGCCACCGCCTTCCGAACGTAAGACGCTCGACTATTTGTGCTGGCTGAAGGAACAAGGACAAACGAACGGTGCACGGATTGGATCCTGGAAGGATCTACCGCATTCCTAGCTATAAATCGACGCATCAACGACAGCCTCGATTTTTCGTTTAATCTTTAAAGCTCGCCCGGCTATATATTACTCGGCAACCGCGTATTTGCATATTTTCGATGATTCCGGTAGTCGGAACCTCCCTGAAACAGATTCATCCTACAGCTTCGGCTCGCTGACCGTATTATTTGAATTCCCATTGATTTACGGCGACGTTTTGCATTCTGTAAACGCTTTTATCTTCGAGTGTCGATGTGATGAATGGTAATATTTCGAGGATCATACCGTGCGACAAATAAAGTGCCGTTTATTTAATGGACCGTCGGAACAGTTTTGTACGTTATTTAACATTGAAACGATGTTGATTGCGAATCACGTATCGCTGATGTTTCCGTTTGAAACGGTCGGGATCGATCGAACGGTGAATGGTCGTGATGGTTTCATTTTTGCGCTAAAAAATTTTCACCGAGTCCGCGCGAGCAGAAAATGGAACAGACTCGGAACAAGGGGAAATAAATTCTAGGGGACGGTTGTGGCCTCACGGGGTCACACGTTCGCAGCCTTCGGATGTTGTATAAGTTACATGCGCAACGGAAAAGTCGGCTTATACAGATCACGTACGGCCTGGAATGGACGAGTAAAGTTTCGGGATTCACTTTCCATCGTATGGGTTAAGCCAATTTCTGTTATAACAAATATTGTAAGTTAGTTAAGTTAGGTCAGTTTTGCCGCGCGGAAAACAGGGCTCTGTGTTAACCATTCGTTGTCGCCTTGATTTTCGGCTATGCTCCAATTGTGTACACGTACGTTACAGAATTACAAATTGTTGGAAGTTACATACTGGAAATATTCTGACCTTATTTTGTGATTTATCGTAACGCGTGCAATATTAGGAAGAATTTTGGAAAATGTATTTGAAAAATAATAATAATGTGGTTGTTAAAATTATTCTCTATCTAATATTGTTATTTTTATTTTTGTTTCAGATTTCCCAAGAAAATTCAGTCACCCATCTGAGCCTGTTTGGTGAGTTTTTCTCTCTTCAAATCAATAACATACAAAAATTATCATAAAATTTCATTTTTTTTTACTCTTGACTTTATTAAATATTTTGATTAAAAAGCTGAAATGACTAGAAGAGTAGCTTCTTTCTTTCTTAATAGCACTTTTAAAATGTAAAACGTTGCTTTGAATATTAAGAAGAGGAACTCTCGTGCTTGGCAATTATTTAAATAATTCTCTCTTCTCTGTACTGTTACATTATTTTTCCACATCAGCGTACCCTCACGAGTTCTCGTTGTTTCTTTATCTTTTTTTTTTCCTTGAAAATTTCGGACTTTCAAAGAATGATGTATCGCGCGTCGGGGAAGTTTGCTTGGCGGGGGTTTCACCGGTGAAAAGCGGCCAAAAACGCCGGGAGCATACGGAAAGTTAGATATCATCCGACGCAGCCAGTTAATTCGACGTATGGCACGGCTCGAAACTTTTTACGGTACGTGACGAGGCATAGCAAGTAGAAACTACGAATGCAGTTGCCCGACGACGACGACGACATCCTCCGGGTCGTCGTTGTCGTTGCTGCTGCACGTTGCGCATTTCCTACTCGAACAAATCCACTTTGCAACCCCGTTTCTATGCTGGCGTGTCCTTGTCGCTATGCGTCATCCTCCTATCTACGTATGCACATACGTATCCGCCATGGAAATGAGAAACCGATATCGAGACGAATCTTCTTCGAAACTCCTAAGGCTTCGTCTACTATTAACGGTGACTCCTTTCACCAGAAATTAGATTTTGTCATGGGATGCTCGTCTTACCGCGTACCCTTCTGGATGTATGCACTTTGTTGCATCCTCTGGTGCATCGGGACTTGGCAGTAGATCAGTTCTCTCAATAAGTCTTTTATAATTTTTTCTTTCTTACGACAGAACATAAATTCTAATGTAGCCTTGATAAAGTACAAGATCATCAAATTGAATAATTTAAGAGATCATCTTTTTTAGGTTTCTATGAAATATAATTTTAGATTTCTCTGAAATTTAGAAAATGGAAAATACAAATATCTTATTTTGTATATTACGAAATTCATAATTTTGACCCTTTTTCCCACTGATAAGCTGTTAGAATATATTCAGTAGTATAGCCATAAGATAAATCAGACGTATCAGTAATATTGACTTTTATCAAAGTTTCGACGATCTAACTTTGTTCAGAAAACAAAATGGACATAAAAATGATTTTCTAAATTCTTCACGAATCTCTTTGGTTCGTATTTTTCCGAATCATCACTGTCTGCCGTTTGAAGTCATGGTATTTTAAAATCTTAGCCCGGCTACAGGAGCGAAAAGATTTCTCGGGTGCTTTCAGATTCAATTCAACCGGCGGCTGTACTACCCTTTCTATTTCTATTTCTTCGACTTCAAAGCCCCGTTCCACGGAATTCACTCATGGTATAGCCGTTACTTTGATGCGTTCTTTCGTGTCAGAAGCGACCGTCTAAAGGATTTATCTTTTGGGATAGCGTGAGCCTCGTATGCACAATCCTGAAAAGGATTTTGATCAGTGCACCTGTACATACACGTGAATTATTGGATTCAATGAAAGAAAGAAATTCTTCGCTCTGTTTGAATTTTCAATCACGAATGGAGAAATATGTGAGGATTTAAATTGGTTTAAAATTTCGAAGCAATATCGAACGATTGATGATTAAATTTTTATTTCAGTGATGTATCATTTTAATTTATGATTAAATTGAGTATTTGATTATCACTTGTATTAATGATCATAATTTCATATTTCTTTCACTTATTCACTCTTTTCCATATTTTCTTTTAACAATTTTTTATGTTTTCATGAAAATATCCCAAAATTGCATTGATTTCTTATTTTCTAAATACTTTGTCATGAATTGAAATTTGTAAAATTAAAATTTTAGAAAATGACAGCTTTAATGGATACCTGAAATAATTTCTTTATTCACAATTTCAACCCCTGCTCAGCCACTTATTGTACTGTTTTATATTTTAAAATCTTTCCAAAGAATTACTCTAAACAAAACAAGCTGCATAGAAATCAGACAATCAGTTCTTAAAAAAGAGAGAAGAACGTCGTTTTGTATATACAGTGATGAATTGGCGCTTAAAATTTAACGAAATTTTTCGTATCAACGCGTCTCTTTTTTGGGTGTATTTCCCTGAAAACAACGCAGGGAAGCCTTGTTCTCGAAGTTTGAAACAGGTTCGTTCTAAAAGCAACATCGTTTCCCCCCTTTTTTTTTACGAGTAGTTGGGGTTGGACAGTGAGAAAGTATTATTGTCCTGGCGGCTTTTTACTGCAGGTAAATTGTGAAAACGTTTCGAGAAAAACGCGGGAAACTTAAGGCACTTGTATAGAGGGACATTTGTTCTCTTCTGTCGCGCCTTCTTTTATATCTGAGAAAAAATTGATGAAAGGTCTGGTTTGATGACAGAAAAAGATATAAACGAGTGATAGATCTGTTTCATAACTGTGGAAAATAAAAACGACCCCGTTTCCTTATCTTCAATCTCTGCGAGGATGAACATTTTTTTCAAAATTAAAAATATGAGAAACATTGTAACTTTTTTATTAATAATGATTTTGTGTATTATTGATATAAAGATTCTGTCACGATTTATATAAAGGGAAAAAGATACAGAAGATTCTCTCATGATTCAAAAATATTTCATACCCTCGAAAGAGGAATGGTTATAGTCGTATTCCTCGTATCAACACATAAAGAGTCAGACCGTGGTCGTTTCAAAACTCTTCCAAACCATCTAGCTAATATCGCAGTATTTTTCAAAAGCATTTGAACATCAAAGGAACCACCGTTATGAGTACCTAAAAAAACAAATTGGGTCGAATATTAATATGAAATATACCTAATGTTTAAATAACTGAATTCAAAGCTCAAAAGAGTTTCCTGATTAAAAAATCCTAAACTTGGATAATGAATATCTTTTTTACATTTTTAATATCAATATTTACAAATTGAATTTGAACATGTTTAAATTTAAACACACGATCGTGAAATTACGATCGACATCTCTTCCCTGATAATAAATACCTCAATTTCTAAATGAGGTGTGTAATAAAACAAGCAATCAATCACGTTAACGAGTAGCAAGGGTTGTCACACGTATTCGTCTGGTTGAACGTCGACCACAATTGGTTCTCGAAGCTACACTTATCTGTGGGGGAAACTCTCATTGTCAGATAAGCCAGCCGACCCTAAGGGAACCTTCTAAAATATATTGCGGGCATTGAAGGTAACTGCGTAAGTTCCTTCGAGCGAAACTATTCGTGTGTCGGTGAGCATACACAATCAAATCAACCGGATAGTCTCTGGTATTGCCGAAGAGCTTTGGAACTCGGTTAATCTTCAGGCTAAGTAGTGTCCTATCACGAAAAGGGAAACGTTTTTTTCGACAATTTCAGGGTTCGCCTTTAAAATCCTCGAAAATAACTGGACGAATTCAGTGATTTTAAATTGCATTTCTTTCGTTATTATTCCAAATTATGTATAATCTTAATAATGAACAAATGAAATCTATTTTTACCGATAAATGCGATCCTTTCGCGAGGCAACTCTTTCATCGACAAACGAGGAGAATAATTTTTGGAGCAATTAAAAGAACTGTGTTGGAATCGGTCCATGGTGTACAAGAGGCTTTTCTTCGCGATCGTTGGAGTATAAAAAAAATTAGAGGCCGGATCCCGGTCGCGATTGTAATAGCCCTATGGAAAAAGGTCACGAGGCGAAAGGAAGAACAAAGGGACGCTGCAAAAACGAGGGCCGTCCGTGGACACGGGGAACGATAAACGGTGAAACAATGCGCAGGGCATATTTAGCTTCTGCTGCTGGTTGCACGTTATTTAGGAGCGAGAGGTACACGGCCATTTATATTCCCTTGCACGCGTGCGCTACGAAGGCTGGATACGATATTGCACCCCCTCGAAACCGATGTCCCTTGTTTCCGTTCACATTTTCCGAAATTAAAAGTTTCCTGCCACGAGGGGACATTGAGAAGAATCATTTTTAAAGGAAACGTCAAATTTAGAAAGTGAAAATAATATGTAATACAAAGTTAAATTAACTAAGATTCGGGCTTTCTCCATGGTCCGTCGTTCAAGAGATAAATTTACACATTTTTTTCTATTTTAGTTTGATGGACTTCTATTAATTTTGCATCTGATTTCTATTTGAGATAGATAGAGATACGAACGTGGTATTGTTTTTTTCATAAATTAAGTGTACTCGAAACTATAGTTTCTACACTATATTAACCAGATTCACCTGAGCTCATCCGAAGCAACTCCGCATTTTGATACTTTGGAGAACTATTAACTAGAGAACATCGAAACTAACTAGAAACTTGATTATCTCTCTTGACAATGATCGATACGATCATCTTAAACCGTCTGGAACAATTATCCCCCTTGGTATTACTTGATATTGCTGAATTTTTAACAAGAAAGTAATAATTATACGCATCTTACCCTATTTAAATTACCAATTATAAATTAATGAATTTATAAGGAAAAACAATTATAGAAGATATATTTACATTTAAATAACAGGAAAATAGTAATTAAGTTGTAAAATTCGTTCTATTTATTTACGAGCTTGTAAAACATTGATCGCGTTCAGGGGATATAACTATGAACTACTATTACCAAAATCTACAAAGTAATTACACGGTTGGGGGTTGAAATAGAAGGACGAATCTGGACACAATAGGCGACACCGTTAATCCGGCATCTAATTACACATAAAACCGGCGAGTCCCAACGCGTAAGCCAGCAGGAGATTTCTCCTAGCGGTTTCCATGAATTATTTCTAATGATACTTGAAACATTATCCGTACAAAATTGCAGTGGCCACACTCTATCGTAATTACACCCTCCTTTTACCTACAGTTTTCCCTCTAATTTTAAGTTAAACCGAACATTTTTACTAAAGAAGTAACTGTTGCCGTAATTTGACGACCTATTTATTTATACCA